ATTGGCCCGCCGCCTGTCCTCACCTGCCGACCCCCCGTGACCCCCCGTGACCCTGAACCAAACCCGACCAACCTCCCCCCTTCGCCTAAATTTGACACGCACCCTCTCCCCCGAAACGCCTCGACCCGGCTGCATTTTGCAGGGTCGCTACACCTTGATTGGTAACCCCTGAGCTTACTCCCTGGCCTGGCAGCCTGCCCCTGATCTTGTATAGACCCCCCCATCGTGCTCGCTGGTGGCACGCAACCCGCACACGGACCCCCCCACCCCCCACCCCCCACCCCCGAACAATTTTGCATGACAACCCCCACCACCAGTGCATGCGCTGGTGTGTAACACGTGCATAATGGTGTAGCGGAGGGGTAGGACAGGCGCTCACAGCCCCAAGTGTCACAGGTTGAGCAAGAGGGAGTGGTGAGCGGGCAGTCGGGAGAGTGCTGTCCCGCGGTGCACCCCAGGGCCGCAGTGCCGCCTTAGGCCTACAGCGTCCGCTCCGCGCTACCCTCATGCCTGGCCCCCGCAGGCAGCGCCGCCGGCCGCGGCGACCTGGGGCTCGCGGGCGCCGCTGCGGCATCCGAGCGGGGGCTGCCACCGCCGCCGCCGCCGCCGCCGCTCCCCTCATGGTGCATCACCGCTCTGCTGGTCTCCTCCAGGTTGCTCAGATCATCGTCCACAATCTCCTGCGCCAGGGGCACAGCCAGGCAGCCACCTGAAAAGACTGCAGCCTCCTGGCGCTGAACATACTGCGACGACAGAGCATTCTCTCCGCCAGGCTGGCAGCTTTCAATCCCTCTCACAGCTGCCGGGGGCGAGGCCAGGCCCGCTCCACCGCCCAACGCTTACCTCGGCGATGGCGGCGGCGGGGCCCTCGGCCCGCAGCATGCGCGCCACGTCAGCGATCGCGGTGGCGGCCTGGCGCTTGAGGTGCTCCGCCTCCTCGGCGCTGCCCGCCTGCCGCGCCGCCTGCACCACCACCACATCCAGCTCGTGGGCGACCTCCGCCAGCCGCTCGCTGGCCTCCTCCAGCTGCCCCACCACCTCCCGCCGGACTGCCTCCATGGTGGGTGTGCGGTTCCAGAAGGTGCCCACCAATGCAACTGCAGAAGTTAGAACACAAAAAAACGCATTTCTGGGGGCCAAGGTTGCTCCAATGATCCATGGCATCTGAGGAGCATCTGCCCAGGTGGCAGTCCTGCCTCAGGAGGGCCCTCCTTTGTTCTCTGCCATGGCTTGTTCTGTTGCACAGCAAGCTTCCAAGGTTGACCCAGCACCCACGCAGCCACCAGCTGCTCCTGAAGCCACCACCCACACCCCCAGCTCCCCTCACACCCGCTGCCCAGCACGCCTGCCCATGGCGGCCAAGACGGAGAACGCCTTCGAGGTGCTGACACGCGAGGAGGCGGCCCCCGAGGTGGAGAACCCGGCTGCGGTCGTCACCCAAGAAGACGTCGACCTCGGCCTGGCCGGCAAGGCGGAGCTGCAGCAGGAGATGAAAGTGGCCAGCGGCGGCCCCGCCGCGATGGTGAGAGAGAGGCAGCGGGGTTCGCGGCGCAGGGGCGGCGTCCGAGGGGCGGCGGCCGCCAGGCGCTCAACCGCCGTGCGCCTTGCTGCGCTCCTGGTCGGTGCCTGCAGGTCGATGCGCCTCCCACTCCGGGCCGCACAGGTGCGTCGCCGATGGGGCCCCAGCCCCAGCTGGCTGGCTGGCCAACCTTGTCCTGCCAGAACTGGCATGCACAAGCCTTGGATTGGGCGGGAGCCGGGGAGTCACCTGCTCCTCTTGACGCCGCCAACGCCGCCTCCACCGCCGCCCCCTCGCCCGCCCAGCTGCAGGCCCCCTGCCCCAGACCCAGCCACCCATCAAGCCTGACGTGAGCAAGGCCCCTGGAGACA